ATACCAAATAATATACACGTGGAAAATACTGGAGGGACAGGTCCCAAATCTGCACAGTAAAATAACAACGTACTGGAGTGAACGACATGGAAGAAAATGCAGAATAGAACCAGTGAAGAGCAGAGGTGCCATGGGCACAATCAGATAACACTGTATGAAAATCAGAGGTCCACGGTTGTTCAACGTCCTACCAGCGAGCATCAGAAATATTGCCGGAACAACCGTAGACATTTTCAAGAGAAAACTAGATTGTTTTCTTCAAGGAGTGCCGGACCAACCGGGCTGTGATGGGTATGTGGGCCTGCGGGCCGCTCCAAGCAACAGCCTGGTGGACCAAACTCTCACAAGTCAAGTCTGGCCTCGGGCCGGGCTTGGGGAGTAGAAGAACTCCCAGAACCCCATCAACCAGGTATCAACCAGCAACAGGCAATGATGGTATGTCTGCTGAAACTGAATGATTGGTGGCAGAAATGTATGTAGAAGTGGATGCTATATCTGAATGAACGGTATGGGTGGCTGTTGTTGCACCTGCATTAAGCCATGATATTAATTTTGGAAATTTTCCCATATTCTCCTCCTCCTCTGCAGCTCTCTTCCTCTCCTGTGCTCCACTCAAAACATTACGTTTCATTTCTACTGAAAGGGTCATTCATCTGGAAATATATATCTTAAATATTTACTACAGCATTCAGTCCCACACCAGGATGTAGAGTTATAAAGCATTATATAAGTGTGCTTGCAACAAGACTTTAAATATTTAAACATTCTGCTTCCATAATGAACATGTCTTATGCTCGTGGGGCCCCCAAGGAAAGTGCCCATTGGGCTCATGCGGCAAGACGGCTCTGATCACCACCAGTACACCTTCCACCTGTTGGAAATATCCAACACTTATTTACTAATCCCTAACACAATAGGATGCATTTCCTGTATTAGGCATCATGATTATCCAATACTCATTTACTAATCCTTAGTACAATGGGATGTATTTCATGTACTAAGCAACATAATTAACCAACTAATCCGTAGTTTAGCGATACTGAATTCATTCCATTAGGATGTGGAACGTCATAATTTTCCTAGAATCATGGAAATGTTGCGTCAGTCAGCTAGCCACCAGGAATCATTTTATATATTAACAAATCGAGTAGAACCTAGCCCTATTTTGCCTTTTTATTAAGGATAATCATTTATTAATAGATTCATCTTTAGTTACTAAATCTATTATGTTACTGGAATTAATTTATACAGCCACAATTACCTGTACCAGTGAATAGAATGATAAACTGTAGCTCCACTCCAAATCTTTTCTCGTTCATTCATTTAATATTGTCTAAATTAATTGACTGCATTACGAGAAAATAATTGTTGCCGCATAATACATTTATTTATGATGTAAATATTCATAACGCATTTCCTTCCATATTATTATACTCGGGATCCCAGCTTTGGGAGCTATTGCGCATGTGCCACTCGAGGAGGAAGGGGAGAGACACGAGAATCGCCATTGTATAGGCGTTCTGAAGTTCGCTAATATGACATCGGTCTAAATTTGGAGCATCTGGCTACTTACAGGCTCCAGACTGATTCTGCAACTTCAATTATTTACGAACACCACGTTCGGCAGGGAAGAGAAGTATCCTTAAATTTTATAGGCCTGCAAAATCATTTAAGTTCTTTCCCTGTCGTGATGATGTTTGGCAACATATAATCCCTATGTAAGTGTACTGCTGGTTCCAAAATCCATTTAGAATTTAGAATTAAATGAATGATTCTAGGGTTTGGAGTGGAATTTACATAATATTTGTATTTCAGCTGGAGTACAAGCGTATGCGAGACAGTAACGTCTACCACGATCATGTGTGTCCTCCAGTAGCCTATGCAACAAGTTTATGCCTACAAGTATACGATTTGCGAGACGCTCGCTGTGATACCTACTCAACAGCTAAGCAGTCTTTCTCGTTTCTAGTAGACAAACATTGCATTTAACTAACCATTGTATCATTAATGATTTATAATCTATATACGTACATGCATTTCTTATTCTCATCACGTATGCAATTTATTATACATTGTATGCATTACGTAGACTAACTTTATAGAATACCCTCCAAAATGTGCTATGGGAAGCGGTTTTAGTATTTATAGAATTTACAGTTCATTATTGCATTCTGGTCCTTCGAGCATATTAGCATTATACATTATTTTATTAGCATTAAACTAGAGCCAAATTTCCCCACATCACCCAGCCTGAAAGTCCCAGGCAGGTGCAAGACTCACCGGTTCCTCGTTACGTCTCTGAACTACCTGTTACGCCGCCGGTTCCTAGTCCCAAGCCTCCATGACAAAGGATGTGACATAATCAACGTTACGGACCCAACAACACTTGCTTTCGGCTGCTTTGTGTACAGGTTGTAATTATATGTGTAAATACTTTCAGTGTTCCCCTTATTTTTGTGTTAATGTAAGTTTGCACATGTATTTGTGTTATTATTATTATTTAATGCTTGTGTGTGTTAGCAAAGTTTGTTGAATTCAGGGGGTTTTGTGTATTTTTCATGTTAATTTTACATTTTGATATTAAGAGTAAATTGTCAATTTTTCATCCGAGTATCCCTTCACGCCTGTGCAAGTTTCACACTGCAAAAACCAACGCATTTTTATTTTTTTTATTTAACGTGAAGTGTGTGCCTTATTCCATCTGACTGGTATATCTACATTCCTGTTATGTCACACTGGATATTCAAAAGGTGCTAAATATCATTAATTATGTCAATGTGAGAACAAAAGGACACGAGTGACATCAAAGTTATCTGATTCACCAAGGATTCTACCGAGACAAGTGATTCGAGGGACATTAGGAAAGCAAGACACACAATTGTCCTGAAAATTGGGACATTCTAGTAAAGGTGCACAATGTGAGAATACCATTTGCACAATAAGGAGGGTGGTGGTGTTCCATTAAGTGCACAAGGGTCAAGTGTGTGCAGCTGATACGCAACTTAGCCAGAGCCGTTTTCCATCTATTATAGTGGTAGGAGGAAGGCCAAGGGATTAGATAGTCTTTAAGCAACCCGTCCTCTTAAAAATAACGTCACTTTTGGCTCGTATGCGCACTATGGCCAAATTTGGACATACTGTAATTTAAAATGAAATCGCCTCACAAAAGTGACGTACTGTTCCGTTTTCTGTTTGAGTCGTCCGGCCGACTCTGTAAGGTTAGAATAGAAGACTTTCAATTAACGTTTTTCATACCGTTTTGAAATTTATGAGAATTTCCTGCCCACCTAACTTATCAGAGGACCCTAAACTTACTGTTGTTGAAAAAAAAATCCCAAATTTATTTTCATGTTTTTTCATTTTCAAATTACGTCCAAATTCGGCCATACAGGAAAATTGCCAAAAGCGACATCATTTTTAAGAGGACAGGTTACTTTAAGTGCGTAGTTTGTTACCTATTATGTCAGACCAATGACTTTGCCAATGGTCATGGACTACAGAATGAAGGACCGAGTAAATTTCTAAATAAAGAATCTCTTTTTGGGAAATAGGACAAGTGCAAATGGCCTTTTTAACAGTGGAGTCTATATGTTCATTTATGGTAACACTAATAAGGTTGACAATCCAGCAAAATTTGATTTTTTTTTAAATCTACTAGAGATAAGAAACAGCTAGTATAGGATTTTAACCACCACAGGATGTAAAGGGTTAAATGACACCAAAGGACAAGTTGAACGCTGACAAAGGAATGTTGAAATTGGAAAAGCAGCCAATGAAGAGCATACAAAATTACATTAAGTTCTGCTGTGAAGATGCTAGTCTCCAGGGCATATGGCACACAGAGGTCTGATCAGGAAAGTTAACCGAGTAGCCAACACCATCACCAGACTTAAACCAATCTATGAACAGTACAATGGAATGGGAATGAGAAGGAAAGTGTTCAAGGAAAAGGGGGTACAAGCCTTCACCATGTGGGTCAAGGCCTTGCAAAACCTTGCAAGTGGGACCCGCTCCATGGGTGAAAGGTTGGAACAACCCAAGGAGAGATATTACAAATGTGAACTGAGAGGGAATCTTGCAAATGAGTCAACCTTACAGGAAAAGGAAGAGGAAACAGTGCTCTCCAGAGGAATAATAGTCAAAACAGCATAAACAAATGAGGATGTTGCAGATATTGTGCAAGGTAGTGAAGATACTTACAACGATCTTGTAGAGAAGACAGGACACTAGTTTCAACATACAAGACACTAGTTTCAACATACAAGACACTAGTTTCAACATACAAGACACTAGTTTCAACATACAAGACACTAGTTTCAACATACAAGCTATGTATGAGAGACAAACGACAGGTACCAAAAAATGTGTATAACCCAGTATGGTGCATTGAGAGGCATTGAGATGACAAAAGGTTAAGGGGAGAGAGAGGAATGGGCAGGGCAACCATAATCAAGTTTAGAGAGCATGAGAGTGAGCATGAGAGTAGAGTGCAAATAGAGAAGTGCATCCATCAACCCGCCAAGAAGTACAGGTCAAGATTAGGTACATCTTGAGACGAGATTCTAGAGATGATTTCGGGGCTTAGTGTCCCCGTGGCCTGGTCCTTGACCAGGCCTCCTTTTTGTTACACACCCCCAGGAAGCAGCCCATAGCAGCTGTCTAACTCCCAGGTACCTATTTACTGCTAGGTGAACAGCTGCATCAGGGTGAAAGAGACTTCTGCCCATTTGGTTCCGCCTCTACTGGGGATCGAACCCGGAATCTCAGGAGTACGAATCCTGAGTGCTGTCCATTCAGCTGTCAGGCCCCACCCAAGTAAGGCAATGGCTTTAGAGCACTCAACTTGGAGAAGAGAGATACGAGTGACCAATACAAACCAGTTGTCAAAAAATCAGCCCCCAAAACTGAGGGGGCCTCACCATAGTAAATAAAAAAAACTGGAAAATACCGCCTTCATTAAATCCAGTAAATTACAAAATAAGCACAGTAATGTATCTTACGTTCAGCACATGGAGATTGTTACATTAATGCCGAGGTTGCCATTGTCTGCAAACAACTGGGCAATGGAAGTATCAAACACTAGGCAATCAGAGTTCATGATTGCTGACTGAACACCTTCATGTATTGATCGTGGAGTGGCTTCCCAGGTTAGTCTTCGCCGGGGTCCATTCAGCTCCAATCTGAAAATGAAAAAATACCCTCTTAATCATTATCATATACTTGAGAAAATATGAAGTACAGTAATACAGAAAAAGAAAGTTAAAGATAATAAGGATATTCAGAGTGACATATGCTTAGCAACAATATTTTAAGCCCTCAAGATCATTATAAGAACAAGCAAATATGCATATTCATGTGTGCGTGTGCGCGCGTGTGTGGGGGGGGGGGGTTGCACGGCATCAAAAATTACCGAATATGCAATGTTCCTCATACATTGAAATGGACCAATCAATTTCAAACATTAACCTTATCCTGATAAACTGCTTCCACTTAGCACTGTTTAATACCACTTCTTGTACACAGTTCACACTATCAACACTTCCTCAGTTACAGCCAGATCTTTCCAACTTTTTTGCCCTTTCTCTCTCCTCTCCTGCCACTCCTAAATTCACACAAATACACAACAACCATTTAATCAGCAATAACATATAATTTTACAGCACATCCTCCTGTTTACGTAGACGTCTTGTAACAACGAGGACCATCGTACATACCTGTACCTGTATACCGACGTAAAAGGCAATTAGAAAGTAGAAATCGGTAATATTGAATATGGACAATCTGGAAAAGTTTTTGTACTGATGATGCAAAGAAAACTTAACCTAACCTCAGCTTAAAACAAGCTATATGAGGCCTAATATAGTACATATACATGCTATATTAGGCCTAGGAATATTTAAGTTTGATTTTAAATTAATTTTTTTCAGACTATAAAATAGTACCAAATTCTAGTACAGTACTGTATCTAATTGTCAATTACGTCTGTATGTACGATGGGCCACATAGTTGCAAAAAGTACTATCTAAACAGGAGGCCAAGTTGAATTTTAGCATACTCCTCAATTTTAAAATTCACCAACATTGCACTCCCCATCTTTCCACGATATTATCCTTGCTTAATTAAGCGGGTGATATGATCAAGGTTTTTAAGAGCAGATATAAACAGTCCCGAAACAGTAAAAAATATGTCAGAATATGCAACAATTAGTGTAAGATGAAGAAATTTTGGTTTAGGAGGGATACATGAAAGTATTGATTTGGAAAGAGAGAGTAGTGGAGTGGAAATGGGCTGTGAGTCACATTACTGAGTTTGACAGATTTCAAAGATATATTGGATACATATATATGGGTGAGAGGGGGTGGTATAAATAAGACCTACCTAGCATGATGAGCCATTGGACCTGCTGCAGTGCTACCTAATTTTTATGCTCATAACACTGCACAAGCTCCTTGGATGGCTAATCTCCACTGCTCAAAGATTCATGCTCATGGCACATCAATGTTTCCCCATCTGTAAATAAGGATTACTACAACCAATCCCTGCAGCCCTCTAGCTGAATCTCTTCCTATTGTATTCTTCCAAACTGGGGCTTTCAGAATTCTTTCAAACTGAGGCACCATTCACTTTCCTTGCCTGACTCAATTCTTCAATTCAGTAAGATCTTTTAGTCGCTGTCACTAAGATACTTAAACTAATCAAGTGCTACCAGCAATTGTCCAATCATCCTTATTTCCCACACGGGGGTTTGATCCTTCCCCTAAAATTAGTAATATAATCTTCATTAATTTTAATGCAAGTCTTCTTAAAGACAACAAAATATCATATTTGACGGCAACACAAAATTGCCTGGTGCGGTAACACAAAACATCACATTCAGAAATACAAGTTTCCCATTCTGTACAGCAATGCTCTTGCCCAAAATATAAACAACTACAGAATACAGGTGATCTTAGAGGAGGTAAGAGTTAGGGTACAGAAACCACTTTAAAGTACTGTATTTTTCAATAAATGTACTGTATGATGAAACATACTGAAATAGTTTGTCTCCACAAAATATCTTTGTAAAATAGGGGTGCGTCCTATGTGAGGGGTGCATCTTTTACGCCGGCAAATATGGTATTCAACTTGACAACATACATCACTTCTCATTCACTTGCTAAAACTACAGCACCTGCATTCATCATATGTTATATATTCCATTAATACTTGTAAAGCACCAAATTCAAACCATTCTTAGTACTCTTACCTTGACCTTCCTTTGACTGTTAATAGTTAATAAAAGACAAACATAAAAAACAAAGAAAGGCAACCGTGGCAACTCTTACCTGTACGCAAAGTTTTCAGCCTGTTTTCTTGAGCCAATCAGTTGTACAATGGCAAAAAACTGTTGATGGCCATCATACTTTTCCTGCTTTTCTAACACCAGCATAAAATGGTGACCAAAGCAGCTCTGCATCATGACCCAGTCTACAGCTCCAGGTAAATTTATATCTGTTGCCAAGAACACTATGTCTTCACCTGGAAAAATGTGACATATGAAAATATGCAAAAAGACAATAAAACTAAAGCTCATGATTTTCACAAAGAAAAAGCAGCACAGATCATCAAGTATGACAAATTCATGGGTTGACATTAGATGGCTGCCCCTGTCAGTAGGGTAAGGGAGGGGGAATAATGTAACTTCAAAATTGTTAATAACATAAACCTCTAATGTCTTGGGTCATAGGCTGATTAAAGGATATGGTAACCTTTGACAAACAAATAATTTTTACGAAGTCACTACAGTGCTTTGTTCAACTTTAAACATTACTTCCTCAATAAACGAAGTTAGCTAAGAAAAGTAAGCCATCTTCAGTGCCATTTGGAAATTGCCCGAAACGTGTACTGTACTTACAAAGATTCAAGTCTGACCATCTTTAACCCTCCTGCTGCTCTAATCACCGTGGAGTGACTGGGCAACAGGATGTGGAAAGCAAAGCTTTCCAGAGTTGAACAACAAGTACAATTTCAATTACTTGTGTACTTACACAGGCTGTGATATGCCTCTCCTGTTGTTCAAGGAACGTGTATTCTTCAAACAATATACTGTATGCTGTATCACAAAAGCAGCGTAGATATTGTCTCAAAATTATTTATCCTGTGTGACCAAGATCAGATTTATCATTGTCATGATTATGCAGATTTGGATACTGACATTGACGCTAGAAAGGAGGATCAAGTTATGAATTATGAGCAAAACTCACTGATAATCATTACTATACAAGTTCATTCTGTTCAGTTATTTGCATGAATGCAACACTAATTAGCACAGCAAGAGCAGATATGAAAGTGATCACTGGAAGTGGAAAGTGCCAGATTAGAAAAAATAGGAAATCCTGGCACTGAAGATGAAGGACACGAGTCCTGGGGATGGGTTCAGCACCACCACATGTAAATTACTTAGAGGACCTTGCTTAGAAGTGTACAACCTACACCTTCAAATATAAAATTCACTAAGCATGCTTGTTCAACAATGCTGTTAAAACCAGCATAAAAGTATTATATCTTACAAAAATGAAGTAAACAGGATCATGACATGTGAAGAACACATGTAACTGGTCACTGTACAAGTACTAACCTTGTAATGTGGTAATACTCTTGTGGGCACTCATCAGATGTGGCATAACTTGTTCTAAAGATCCTTGCCATTTACAAGAAGCACCTGGACATGGACACATATATGGACGGAACTCGCATGTGTCTTCATGTTCCGTTTTGTCTGTGTGTAGGAGGGTTGCCGAGCAGCCAGAGGAGGAATATTTGCAAGGGAACATGACTGTGGATGCCACTTTCTCCATTGCTAAATTTCTTATATTTCCTGAAAGGATATATTTCACGATACAGCATGGTAACAATAGGTACTATAAAACTAAATTAACAAAGTTCTTGGTCATGTATAATGCAAGAATTTTGTTTAATAACCCAAAACTCCCAGAAATATGAGTATAAGACTAATATAAAACATTTTTCACTACACTACAATTACCAAAAAAAAAATTAAACACAGTATATAACGGTAATCAAAATCCTTTATTCTTACCTAAAGGTCCTCTGCATGTTGGACAGCATGTGAGTTTTGGGCGACAAGTGGCACATACTAAATGTCCACTCTGGCACTGTAGGATTGGTGGCAATACATAATCAAAACAGACTGGACACTCAAACAAACTGGCTAATTCTGTGTTGCCTCCTGGTGCAGCACCCGACGGAGCCGACTGGGGGTGCACCGCCCTCCCACTTTTACTTGCAAATGCACTCATTGTCACGAGCTTAGTCTCTGAAAACAAAAACAAAAATTTATAAACAGGACACACTGCTCATAACTACATATATGTAATACATATTTTGAATATTCCTTAATTCTACTATAGCCTCTACTGAAGCTAAATATCATTTGTTCACATTAAAGCAGTCAAATAACTTATCCTTGGTCTTCAATTATAATATACTGTATCTCACGATATAATTCACAAAATTCTATATCACTTTCTCTCTCTCTCTCTCTCTCTCTAACTTAAACTCCTCTCCATCCTTCTATGTTTCAAACCACAATTAGTGTATATTGTATGTGACACAATTCAGCTACATTGTGTATAGGCTACTGTGGTCCCTTGCTTTGTACGAAGAATGCATTACTGGTAGACCTCAAGCAAGGCATGTTCACACAAATTGGGTAAAATAGGAATGCATTCTTCACACACACACGGTCATCCATTTTCTACTACTGTATTTCCACAAAATACTTGCTGTATAATACAAAAACTTCCACAACATCCCCCATCACAAATAACCAACCAAGGTACTTGGCATACTGTACACTGGTAATATTTCAGGTAGGTTGCCAGATACATAAAAAACAAACAATTTACAGGGTGGTCCAAGACTCCATACACAGGGAAAATTATAGCCGCTATTAATGATATAGTTGCTATAAATATTTTGGTCCAGCCAACTAAAATGGACTTAGACCCCCACCCACCAAAGAAAAAAAAGTCCACATTTTATATTACTGAATTAGCCCAAATGGCATATCAAATAAAAACTAAAGAAGTCAACCTGTCCAAGCAATCGACAGTCTACAGTGGCACCTTCTTCTATGAATTTAATCTGTTCCCAGAGATGGTTCGTCAAGCGAAAATTCAAAAACCGAAATTAATTTTTCCATAAGAAATAAGGTAAATTGAATCCGTTCCACAAACCCAAAAATATTAACTTAAAAATATATTTTATACATAATACTACTCATATTTTGTACTACAGTATGTATATCTTGTCTTTATTGAGGACTCTTGTTGGCGTATGGAGAAGGGGGTAAAGAAGAGAGGCGCTAAGTGTTTGGCAGGGGAACTCCCCTTCCACTGTAACATCAGGCAGTGATGACATGGTCAAAGACCCGGTGTCCAGACATAGTCAGAGACCTGGTGTCCGGACATGGTCAGAGACATGAAAATAAGTACAATATAGAAAGAAGCCTAACCTTCAAACATACTAGCACTACAAACAAGCAAGAAATTTGTTATAATATCAAACCTACACTGCATATATGTCAGTATGCATGACCACCAAATGTCTTCCCTTAGTTTATTACATCCGGAGAAACAAAAGATACAGTTTGTTCTACATTATGGCTGCCAAGTTTGAAATTGTTACCTTTTGTAATTGTCGCATTAAACCTCTTTAAAAAATACTGAATATACTGTAACACAGTGATCTCTCAATAATTCAAATCATACGAGGTGGGACCTAATTTGGCTTACACAGATTCAGATAAACAAATTGTTTTTAAGACTTATTTTTCAACAAACCCTTTTCTTTTTAATGTAAACGACACTCAGATTTGCACATATAAACCTATTAATAACAAAAGCATATTGGTAAAGGACACTTCACATTGATAAAGAGAAAAATGTAACTTACCTTTACCAAGTAGAAAATTTTCTTCATCACCCTCAGATGGGTATACATTATCACTAGTAGCCATATATTTCATGTACTGCTCTTTTTTTCTCCTTATATCACAAACAGTACTTGCCCCTATGCCAAATTCTCTCGCGATGCTCACAGCAGAACGGCCAAGGTTACACAGTTCAATGACTTTAAGCTTGTCCTTAACTGATAGAGTAACCTGCCTCTTCTTACCCCCTTCTGGTTGATTACTGCTGCTCCTAGGCATCTTGTTCACTAGAAATTAGTTCAATTTGTTTAAAAAAAAAATTTGATACAAAAGTCCTTCAGCCACGGACTGTGACCCTGTCGTATCACGCATACGAGGCGAAAAGCACGTGGCTAACGGAGTTGTGACGAGTCCAGTAAGTACACACGCTACTTGGGCCAGTAGAGAGAGAGAGAGAAAAGTCACTTATTGTGGCTGGTGAATAACGCATTTCTAAGTCAATGATTGTTACAATGCTGGCATTCGAAATAAAAATGACTGTACTAGTACTGTATTATTATGAATGAATTCATACAATGAATTCATTAATGAACAACAACAAAATTAATTTTTATATTAATGAACTGTTTGAATTGTTTTACTGTACGTATATTATTTGCTTAATCATAGGCCGACACTTTTGGCTATGTTTAACATTTAGTCAGCCGCCCATTCAGGTAATCTGAATTTATCAGTTAAATTAAACAGAAGGCTAAATCTGAAGCTAATTTTTTGCAGGTTACCTAGTGAATTCAATTATTGAGAGATCACTATATAGAATGAAAATCATTAAAGCATTAATACCAAACTGTGTACAATATATATAATTTTTACTAATCAAAAAGTGTGCCACCTAATGCATAAAATAATTACAAACCATTTGGAAAGTAGATCATATTGGAGATACAACTGAATAATGAGCTCAAACCTAACCTATGGAGTGTGAATATAGGTCTATGATGTGCTGCACTAAACCGATTCTAAATTAATACTGCATGTTGAAATCAGCAACATGTGTAGAGAGAGAAGCGTTTTATCATGCATCCAAGTAGTGCAGCGCCCCGTGGGTGTGTATTTAAATAGCTCGCTACCACAATGGTTTGCCTCAAACATATTCACGAGCCTTAGATCATGTTAGGATATATTTTTCATTAGATTCTTAACACTAATCCGGAGAGGAGAGAGGCAATTATCAAGAGAGTGCTAAGTTATTACAACTATATAGCACTTGGAAAGGATATACAGATAAGGATTTGGGATAGGACAGAGCTCAGCCATTTACACGGTTGAGGATTAAATGGCGACCTGCTAGTAGCAAGACCGTCGCTCTACCATTCAGTCACAAAATGTTGTTTTACCCAATATGGTAAAACAACAAAAGTAACAAAACTATTCAAAATAGTAAATAATAAAACTATCTGAATCTATATGGTACAGCCTACCTATGAAAGGTTCTGAAACTAGGTCAGCACTGTACAATACTAAGTTCAAAATCGATACAGGACACTTCACGAGACCATTTGCATTCAAATTTTGAAATCTAGCCTAACCTGATCCAACCTATGATAGGTACCAATAAAAAGTGATGTATATTGTATAGTGCTTATGTACACAAATTTCAAAATATAGACAAGTTTTAAAATCTTACAATTTATGCACAAAACAACCTGTGCAATAATTACCTGTGCACTAAATTACTGTATCCTATCTCATCCAAACTACCGTATATAGAAATAACAAGACTTGTAAGGACAAATCAGAGCCCCAAGAATGGATATTGATTTAGTATCGGTATTGAAAACAATTACCTTACCATACATTGATTTACCCGAGGGGCCACTAACCCTGGTGGTCTCAACAAGGACAGGAAGCCAGTGGCTTGTCCCAAGTCCCCTCCGTCGTAATACAGATTATAAAATGAGGCTCTACAGAAAAAGTGATCCCATGTATGAGGTACTAGTCTGTGAAGTGGCAGTAACCCTTCCCAATCCATGGGCTTCCTGTCTCTGATATGACTTAGTAGACAGTAGCCCATGGATACAGGTCACTCAGTACAGGAGACAGTTCACATGCAGATTTTAAATCTTTGCCTAACCAACGACATACACAATTTTCAGAATGATTAAACTTTCTCGTAACGTGTAGGTGCGCTCGATTATGAAATACAGTTCATCAAATATTTATGACTGAAACAACTAGTGTGCAGAACGCCTGTGTTTTGACACTACCCCAAAGGGTAACACGAGATTATTAGTGTCTAGTCGTTGCCTTTCAAACCTGCTCAAAAGAAAACACTGCATAACCACAAGAATGTAACATGTACATATCTACCTTTGACATAACATACAAGGTGACGAGAATATTAGTGTAGGGGCCACAGTGTAGGGCCCAGTGTAGGGGCCACAGTGTAGGGGCCACAGTGTAAGGGCCACAGTGTAGGGGCCACAGTGTAAGGGCCACAGTGTAGGGGCCACAGTGTAGGGGCCACAGTGTAGGGGCCACAGCGTAAGGGCCACAGTGTAGGGGCCACAATATAGAGGCCACAGTGTAGGGGCCACAGTGTAGGGGCCACAGTGTAGGGCCAACAGTGTAGGGGCCACAGTGTAGGGGCCACAGTGTAAGGGCCACAGTGTAGGGCCAACAGTGTAGGGCCAACAGTGTAGGGGCCCCATTAGGCCACACACAGGTGGCAGCAAAGAACTGAAACACTGTAATTATCTAAAATCATTCCAGTGGAACACGTACACTCTTCACGACAGACAATAGTTACCCCATCAGTGAACTGTAATAGAGATCCATCACAGCATTACCTCACACACTTGACGTTAAGACAGCAATATAGTCAACCTGACGAGACTGTCAGAGCTGCACTTGGCCGGCCGTCCTCCTGGTAAACCCTGTGACCTTACAACACACTCCTTATTAATACCCCTCAAACACTCTCCTGCCCAATGGTCAATGTGGGTGTGTGTACGTCCCTGTGGAGAGACCTCAGAGTGAAATACCTGTCATATCCAGTGGGCAGAGAGGCCTCCCCGCCGCCACACTGCTCCGTCATGTGTGTGTGAGGCAGCTGCCACCACACACCTGGCTCCTGCCGCCTCCCGCCTCGCTGCCTTTACTGCAGGCACACCTGTCTCACGCCTGGTGTGAGTATAGGATAAAGGCAGGTGTGTGAGGAGCATTACCTCATGAGTGTTGTGGTAGGCCTGGGGGATGAGTCACCAGCAGGGCGGCCATCACAGCTCTCTTGTTTACCACATTGATCACCACAACACCCACCAACCCGCACCATTCAAACACTATAACCTCACACAACTGCTCGCAACCTACTATACTTGCATGACATAACCTCATACACCGACATTCATAACCTTTTGAACTTGTATGCCTGGAGAATAATTATAAAATAATAAAGGAACTTTTGACAAGCCGCCAGATACCAGTCCCCTACCTGCCCCCACTGTGGAGGTCACTAGAGGTTTGCTAAAGGTGGCGGCCTACAGGTCAGTTGTTGTTGTTATAGATTCAACTACTCGAAACAAGTTCCAAGTAGCACGGGCTATGGTGAGCCCGTAACTTACCTAGCACAGGAGCGGAGCTGTGTGGGGGGGTCAGCCAACGCTGTATTATGTCTGTAGGTTAGCTTTGTATTTTAAAAGCACTACAGTCACCTTCTGTGGTTCATTGTTCAGTAAATCACTGGACTTTATGTTTAACAGATCTCTAATTCTGTCCATGGAGGACAGAAGAAAATGTATATATATATGCTGGTTAGCACTGTAAATGTGTGACCATGTCTGTGGTAGGAAAAAAACGCTGCATTGTAACAGCATTATATATATATATATATATACAGCCCGTCCTCCAAAAATGGGGTGGTAAATGTAAGGAGGCAAATAAGTGCAATTATGTACTATTCATAGCAGTTAGTAATTGTACTTATTTTCACTCAGTATTAAATCGTACTGTCAAATATATTGTGAATATTTGAGTTTACCCAAAAAACTGAATAGAAAACCACAACCTCACCTAACCGTCTTAGTTTTTGAAGATAATAATTTTATTGCTTCTTAATTACAATTAGTACTTAACCTATAGCTATATTGATATTACAGTTTTATAAAACTAATAAAACAAAACTAAAATATATCAATAAATTGTAAAGTAACTCAGGATATTTTAAAATTTTGTATAAAATCTATATTGTTTAATAAATCTGAAAACAAAACTCCTGATATTTAAAACTTGTGTATTGCAAATCAAAGTTGAAAACGTCATCCTAAAATTCTGAGTGTCTTAACAGAAAACGAGAAAAATTAAATCGGGGGAGGGAGTTGGGTCAATGTAACAGCCCCATAAGTGCAATTATGCACTGCTTATGACAGTAAGAAAGTGTACTTATTACACTTAGTATTAAATCGTACTGTCAATTCGGAGGATGGGTTGATATATATGTCGTACCTAGTAGCCAGAACTCACTTCTCAGCCTATTTTGCAAGGCCCGATTTGCCTAATGAGCCAAGTTTTGCTGAATTAATATATTTTCACTAATTTTTTTCTTATGAAATGATAAAGCTACCCATTTCCTTATGTATGAGGTCAATTTTTTTTATTGGAGTTAAAATTAACGTAGATATATGACCGAACCTAACCAACCCTACCTAACCTAACCTAACCTATCTTTATAGGTTAGGTTTGGTTAGGTAGCCCAAAAAGGTAGGTTAGGTTAGGTTAGGTAGGTTAGGTAGTCGAAAAACAATTAATTCATGAAAACTTGGCTTATTAGGCAAATCGGGCCTTGCATAGTAGGCTGAGAAGTGCGTTCTGGCTACTAGGTACGACATATATATATATATATATATATATATATATATATATATATATATATATATATATATATATATATATATATATATATATATATATATTAGTATATTTTGGTAGCAGTCTTTCCTGTAGACATATATTATTAAATAGGACCGAAAAAGTAAGATTAATAATTCTAACACGAATATTCTCTATCTTCCTTACGTTTCTTTTCACTGTTGATGGTAATTCAAAGATCAATTCTCCAAAATTCATTTTTATTTTTATTTTTATAAATAAAAATGAATTTTGGAGAATTGATCTTTGAATTACCATCAACAGTGAAAAGAAACGTAAGAAAGATAGAGAAAATTCGTGTTAGAATTATTAATCTTACCTTTTCGGTCATATTTAATTATATATATATATATATATATATATATATATATATATATATATATATATATATATATATATATATATATATATATATATATATATATATATATATATATATATATATAAAGGGGTACACCTCTCTGGTGCAATTGCAGGGACCCCCAGCCTTGAAGAAGGGAACACAGCATTCAGAGAAAAACTTATAAATTTTACTAGAATTTACCGACCTAATATTAACTGTTAGATTAAGGACCTGGCCGAAACGTTGTGCGTACTAGTGGCTTTACAAGAATGTAAACACATCATGCTATGTACTCTCACAAACCTAATGTACCTCCTTGTATATATATAAATTAATAAATAAATGAATAAATAAATACATAAATAAATAACATGCTCCAGACGAGAGCGAGTTCTTAATTAACATGGCCTTAACTGTATTATTATTTTTGAACACTGGGTTAATATTAATTTTTATTCAGGGCTGGGGCAAGCTTTACTAGTCCATCAAAATATGGTAATACCAACGCGCTTTTTATTTCTGGCTTAAACTTGGGAGCTTGTTTGTAGAACGTTCTCTTTGCTTGATCAAACGCGAAATCAAAGAGCGATTTTTCGTATATTAACTTCTCCCAATTTCAAATATTTTTGTTATTTCATCATCAAAAAATTCCGGCCTGCAAACTCTCAGGGCTCTGAGAAATCTTGCAAGACCTATTATTAATTCTGTTGGATCTGTGGCATATAGACTTTCCAGATGGCTTGTCCAAGTCTTGTCCCCGGTAGTAGGTTCCATTTCCAACTCGCACATAACGAACAACTTGGATTTGGTTAACAAGTTGTCTGGTTTGAAATTAAATTTTGATTTTAAACTTGTGAGTTTTGATGTGACGGCTCTGTTCACTAGAGTTCCTGTTGATGACCCGTTGGTGATCTTACGGGATCAACTCCTTAAATATAATTTAACTTTACCTACTAAAATTATTAATGATGGTAACAGAATCCATTTCATGTGGGCTCCATCTCATGTTGGCCTCCGAATGCATGATATAGCTGATGAGTTAGCCAAAGAATCTGCCTTTAAAGGAGAAATTGAGTATAACCTTGGATTGTCAATAAGCAGTTTGAGAGCAATAGTACACCAAGAACTTCAACACAATCTCGTAGATCTGAGGCAAAGTGAAATTGACATCAGTAATTCCATATATCATCATACTACCATGCAAGAGGATCCACACATCTATAGTTCACCCAATAAAATCAGCAGACTTCTAGATGTTACTACTGCTCGGCTTAGACTCGGTTACAAGTATCTCTGGAAAATCACATTATCTGCTAATGTAGCCCTGAAATGTAAACTGTGTCAATAAAATTATTCGCACACCTTCCGTCACTATGTGATGGAGTGCGAAAAGATACTTGAATTCAGAGCCAATTTTATAAACGAATGTTCCAAAGATGTGTAAATATTTTATTCAAAATGATCTGCTACCAGAAATTTTAGCCAAATATTCCTAGTTTGCTAACTATAGATAGTAACTAAGTGATTGTAACCTATCCACCGCTGCCCACTGGATGGGGGGCGGTGTGCAGGACAAACATATCAATTGTGACACTAGCTCTCCACAAATGTCAGTTGCTCAATTTAGAAACTGTACTTGTGGTCGGTCTCGAATTCATTGATGATGTGACGACTTATATTGAATTTTGTAACTAGCTCATCAAGATTGTAACTTGCTTAGCTAAATGAATTGTGGGATTCAGTCCCTGAGCCCATTATGGGCCTCTGCGAGTTGTGACCGGCCCGCGGTCGCAGTGTAGGCGCTCTTGGATATTGTGAAATTGTGCTCAACTGCTACATTTGTATTGTGCATCTGCGTGTTGGGGAAATGGCAGAGGCAGTCTGCCTCAGTGATGGACAATCCTGCACTGGGACTGTCGATTGTGAGAGTGAGGATAACTTTCAAGCTGTGAGAGTACTTACCAACCAGGGAAGAGTCATCAAGTTTCTGTGGATCCCCTCCCATGTTGGGGATCCCCTCCCATGTTGGAATATGTGGGAATGAACGAGCAGATGTGCTGGCTGCTGAAGGCGCTGAAGGAGACCATATTGAATACTTCATACCCAAGACTCAACTACAAATTAGAGGTATTATCAGGCAACATCACCGTGACAAGGTAACTGAGGAAAGGAGGATAGAAGCACAAACCAGTGAATCTGTACGATGGTACAACATGGTTGCAGCTGGCAATCCCAATCAGTATGGCCGAAGAGGAGGAGGACGAGGGAGAGAATCTGTAATAGCGAGAATCCGTCTTGGATACAAATATCCATGGAGATTTGGAATGGAAACAACAGTTGATCAGCGAAGTTGCAGAATCTGTGGTGAGAGTGATGGACACCGCCTTGACCACTATCTACGTGAATGTGAACACCTGAGAGACATTAGGAATAACTGTAGAATAATAAACCCCACATTGTTTGAGTTAGGAAAACACTATTTGTCAAATGTTGATACTGTTCTTAAAAGATTTCCCCATTTTGCACCTGCAAGATAACGTAAGCTTTTAAGGGTTGATAAATGTTAATCTTCTTGTTTGAGGAGCTGTTCACTTGAGACAGTTAAGCAAGTCCCAGCTGTGTCTGGGTACAAGTGACAGGATGAACAACCCAGCGGGTTTTCTTCCTATTGGGGAGTGTTGTACATTCTGCTATGGCGGTATGTTCACTCACAAGATGAGTGGCGCTGCCCAATAAACTCGCCCCTCGGGGCAAAATTTAAAAAAAAAGGTGATACCAGGCCGTACCACGTTGCAATGTCCAGAAAGAAACCAGTGGTACAAACTCCCAGGAACTCTCAACAGGCAACCCTACCCAGCAGGACGCAAGACACGAAGATTAATAGAAGGAAGCGGCTGTTATTCTCCACAACATGCCAACCGAACTTCCACCAAAAGCTGGAGTGGACGGTACGTCTGGCTAAGGAGTGTTTTGAATATGATCCACTCTTCAAGGAGGGTCTTCACCGGCTCTACATAACAGTTGG